TATATATATATATATATATATATATATATATCTATATATATATATATATATATATATATATATATATATAGATATATATATATATATATATATATATATATATATATATCTATATATATATATATATATATATATATATATATATATATATATATATATATATATATATATATATATATATATATATATATATATATATATATATATATATATATATATATATATATATATATATATATATATATATATATATATATATATATATTTTTTTTTTTTGCTGATATATATATATATATATATATATATATATATATATATATATATATTATATTCATAGTTATATATATATATATATATTCCCGTAATTTCTGTTTAACAGAGAGAAGATTATTTCAACACATTTCTAATAATAATAGTTTTAATAGCTCATAAATGATTTATTTTTTTATTTTATCTTTGAAATGATGACAGTAAATAATATTAGACTAGATATTTTTCAAGACACTAGCATTCAGCTTAAAGTGACATTTAAAGGCTTAATAAGGTTAAAGGTTAGGGTAATTAGGCAAGTTATTGCATAACGATGGTTTGTTCTGTAGACTATTGAAAAAATATATATAGATTAAAGTAGCTAAAAAAATTTCATTAAAATGGTAAATAAAAAAAATTCAACTGCTTTATTCTAGCTGAAATTACGTTACACATAATTTGGGAAATATTTAAAAAAGAAGAAAAAAAATCAGAGGGGCTAATAGTTCTGACCTTAACTTTATATATTTCTGACTTCAACTGTTATTATTATTTATTTATTAATTTATTTTTGTGGTGTATGGGCTTCGTAGCCAGTCTACAAAAATTGGTTCATTTTGCCCAAAATGTGGACCTTTTTGCAGTTATTTAATTCATTTCTTCTTTAATTATGAGGTTTAAATATTGCATTTTTAAAAACTTTTAAGCTTAATTTTTATCTAGATTAGCTTGTCTGATGGTCATCATAACCACACTTTTTAACGTACCAAAATATTGACAAAATGTGGAATAAAGAAAAATAAAGAAAAAAACTTATTATAAAACACAAATTTATTACATTGTATAAATTAAAAACTGTAGCCTATTGTCATTTATTAGGAAAATAACAAACTGACCAGCACATTCAACTTTCCTCAGTCAGAATAAGGCCACTTGAATATTGAACAATTAAATAATAATGATAATAATGATGATGATGATGATGATGATGATGATGATGATGATATTGTAGAGCTTAATGATTTTTCTAGCCTATCTTGTAAAAAGTACCAATGAATATTATAATGGATAACAGCAATAGCAGCAATTAGTATTAAAATTTGGTAATTTGTTTCAAGATTTAGAATAAAAGTTCTTTGTAAAATGTTTTCTGTATTTACCAAAAATATAGTAAGTAAAACCAAATAATACATTAAATAATCCCAGTCTTCTCAATCCGAGCAAAGCTTTTATTTTTATATGAAGAACACACTAAATGTTTTCTCTGGGACAAACTCTGCAAACTATTTACGTGATAACATTCTTAAAGAGAAGTCTGTTTTTCAGTTTTGTTTGGATCTAGAGCAGACCAACATCTTACCATAAAATAAATATCCTTATTTTTGTCTTCTGGACAATTCCCTGACCAAATTTAAGTGGAAACTGACTATTTCTAGAAACTAAATTGCACGAGCAGTCAGGGTTGTTTTTACGCTTGATTATTTATATATTTTTTCTATCCCTAATGTCTCAGTGATTAAAGTAAAAGGTTCAATGAAAAAATTAAAAAACATTTTTCCACAAAAAATGACAACCCCGTCTCCCTCGATAGGAGCTATAAAAAGTTTTAAAGCGTTAATGTTTTTTTTTTTTCTTTCAGTGACTTTAAAGAGGTGGCTTAGTGGTTAGGACTGTCACCTCACATCAAGAAGGTCCCTGGTTCGAGTCCCGGCAGGGCCAGTGTGCATTTCTGTGTGGAGTTTGCATGTTCTCATCGAGTTGGCGTGGGTTTCCTTCGGGGACTCCGGTTTCCCCCACAGTCCAAACACATGTTAGGTTAAAGTGACATTTAGAGGCTTTTGACTTTAAGTACATAATATATAGATATATATATAATATATAATTCTAAACTGGGATGATTTTTTTATTATTATTATTATTTTGTACAGATGGAGCGTTATCATTTTACAGAAATGGAAACAAGTTGCTAGCCAGTGCTAAAAAAAAATAAAATAATAATAATAATAATAATAAATAATAATAATAAAAGATCATGGTTTCCAGCACACGTTATTTAACACCTCCCCGTAATCCTCCAGAGCAATGCTAAACCCCTGCAGTGATGATCCAAAGGCAGACGGCAATTTCATTTTCCTATCACACACGCCACAGCGCACATTTCTAAGCCTGTTTCGTTCTAGTCGATATTGCTGGATCCCCATTAGTTGCTATATTGTCATTGAAACAGATAGCCTCTGATCCCCGCCTGCCATCTGCCAACGTTAAAAAAAAAGAAATCCACCTACAGCACAGCACAAGTCCCGGATAAACGCAGAAACAAATAGATGAGCATTATATGATGACAGTGTTAAGCCTCTTCTACGTGCAGAGAGCGTTTCAATTCTCAAATTAGACCGTCTAGCTTTTTAAATAGGCTCTTGCATCCTTTTTATTATTATTATATTTGAGTGGAATGCATTGCTGTATGTAATCCCTTGTAATAATGCTTCATTGATTGTTGCTGTGAGCTTGTTAAGGTTTTTTAAGGATGACAGATTGAGGTTTTATGTCTTTCTGTTATTTGTTATCTATAAAGTTATTTCATTATTATCTTCTATATTGTTTAGCTGTATTATTCTTGATGAGGTTCGGTTTGATTCACTGTTTTTCAGAAAGCCTGATAAATTGGACAATAAGTTTTTCTTATATTTTGAATATGTTTGATTGTCTGTGCTTTTTTAAATAAGTAGAATGAACTAATTTTGTCCAACAGCATTAAATAAAATGTTAATGGTTATTTCTAATCTATTTCAAAACAAAGTTGCAAAGCGCAGAGCTTTAAAAATGATCATATTCATTGATAATTGTAATACTACTACAACAACAACAATAACAACAATAATAATAATAATAAAGATTTTATAATGAGTTTTTAGAATAACAAAATACTACGACAAAGTTCTAAATTTTTCTTTCTGTAAATAAAATAAAATAAAACAATAAAATAAGTAAAATCTAATTATTACAATTCTAATCAAGTTTATTCAGTTTAATTTTGCTCCAACTGAAATTTTTTTAATTAATTAAATAAATTAATAAATGATAATACATGTATTTAATAAATAAATAAATAAATAAATAAATAAAACTATGACTCAAACAGCAATGTTGCAGTAAAATAATGTTCACAATTCTGGAAAATAAAAAAAATATATAAATAAAAGCTGCATTATGCTTGCCTGTATACAAATAATTTGAAAGAAATTTGAATTTCTTTACTTTTGTTGTACGAACTGAATTAAACTAAATTAAATTGAATTAAACATATTTTTCACATGCCGTTTCATTCGTAACGCTTTATGCACACATACACAGTAGCGTGCGTTCTCGGTTTTATCTCGAATAACATTTTTTCATATGTTGGAGGTCAAAATCAAAATAGAATTTCTATTAGTTGCACATAC